CTTTGTCTAAACGCAAAGGGTTTCTCGTTCAAATGCACCTGTTTCGTTTAAACGCAGAAAAAAAATTCCGTGGCGATAAGTGTTGATATTGCAGCGCCCTTGTCTGGTGACGTGGAGGAGGCGCAGCCGGGTAGGGCTAGGAGTTATAGCCAGGGAATGGGGAGTGAAAGCGCAGACTCCGTTAACGTAAATAGCATTTGTGTAAACAGCTGTTTAGTGTTATTGTGTTATACCAGTTATTGTCTGTTATTATGCCCCAATGTGTAACCACCCTGACCCTGTGTACGTGTCCCGTGTACCCCCTATTGTATGCGCCACCTAAGGTTTCGAGTTCATCTCTATTGCCTGTACTATAGCTAGATAACGGAGGCTTAATAAAAGATGCTTGTGTGCCAGATTAGGGTGTTGTCTAGTTTCTTTTTCTGCGCGTACTCGAATTAGCCACAACATTATATAAAGAGTAAAGACCAAATAACAGCCAAAAAATGACCAAATTAACAAAGACCTAGTAATGAACTGCTTATCCTTCGCATTTTAAAAAAAATGAAACGATGAATTTTGCAGTGTAATTCTGCTTACTGAAATACGACAAGGTCTTCAGAAATATTTTTAGACACCCTGTTTCACAGAAGTATAAAAAAGAGAACACATGACAAAACCGTGTGTCATCCATCCCCAAGGGGAAAGACAAAGAACTGACGAATCAAAACAGATCAAATTTGATCTTCACAAATCTGCTAATGGCTACCAAAAATATCTCAAAAGTTAAATATACCATTTAGCACTATTAGGGAAATAATCAAGAAGTTCAAAAGCACTAAAACAGAGGTTAACTTACAAGGAATAGAACAGAAGTGTATTTTTCCCCAGGCACAGTGAGGAAGATGATGGGGGAGGCAAAAAATAATCAAAGGGTCATCGTTGAAGAACTGCGGTGTCTGCTTAGCATCCTGGGGTCACCAAGCATCCAAATCAACAATTAGATTGTGTATCCATGCCAACAGGCTATTTGGAAGGGTTGCCAGGAGAAATCCCTTACTGACAAGAAACAAATTGAAGCTGCTATAGTTAAGCAGGTCCTATGGTCAGATGAGACCACTCACACAATCAGTACACAGTGTCAGAATGGGATGCATACAAAGAAAATAGCCCCATACATACTGTGACATATGGTGATGGATCATTGATATTGTGGGGCTGTTTTGCTGCCACTGGCCCTGGAGCACTTGTTAAGAACACTGGCATCATGATCTCCACTAAGTATTGGGATGTTCTTGCCAAAAACCTGGTTGCCTCTGCCAGAAACATGCAACTTTGGTCGCAGGTGTACCTTCCCTAAACACACCTCAAAATCAACAAAGAAATGGTTCACTGTAAACAAAATCAACATTTTATAATGGCCAGTCTCAGTTTCCAGAGTAACTGATTGAGCCCTTGTGGTCTGAATTGAAGAGGCCTGTCCATAAGCGTAGACCTAAGGACATGAAGGATCTGGAGATTTTCTCTTTAGAAGAATTATCCAATGTGTTCTCTAAATGTATTAAATGTTATAGGACAAAGCTTTGTCCTGTTATGAATGCCAAAGGAGGTTGCACTAAGTATTAGAAACAGGAGATCCAATAATTTTGACACCAACTGTATATTTTACTTTTAAGAAAAAAAATAGTATTTGTTTTGTATTAGAAAAAGTCTGAAATTCTTTCCCATTTGGGGTGAATAAAATATAGCTCATTTTCTGTACTGTTAATTTTTTACATCTTTTTCCTTCATCTACTGTATATCAAGGTTGCCTATAATTCTTCAGCCCACTTTACTTAGAATAATGTAGCTAAGAGAAAGTGATGGTAAACAGCATTATGGAGATACAGAAAGGTGGAAAAGGTGGATGAGTAGTGGAGTGTGGGTATTAGTTCACCTATTACACATCTTTGCAACCGCAGTAACATACAGTACAGTATACTGAGATACTCCATCTGGACATGGTGTAATGGCATGTTTAAATAGGTAGGACCAGGAAAATAGGCACACACACTGCAATTTATTTATAGTGCAGGAAAACACAAAACCACTAAACAAAATACCTACAGTATAACAGCCTAGGCTTTAGTTCCTGATTTTTAAAGTGTCTGGTCAGGTGACTGGGGGCAAGAGGTTGTTCTCCACAGCATTCTGAGGAATTGGGTCCAAACAAGGATCTCAATTTTGTTTGAATTCACTGACCTCACACAATACAACCAGAACAAATGATACCTTTTTTTCCCAATAATAACTTAGATATAATTTAGAGATAATCCACCAAATACAGGATAAATTCTTTAACTCAAAGGTATTTCAGTACTAACTTAAGCCTTTTCAATATGATAACTAGTAGGTTCTGTTGGTACAGTTATGAGCTTAACCAAGTTTGTTTACATTTGTATTCTATCTTGGTTTTGCGAAGTTCCAGCATGCAGTTAACATGGGTGAGATTCTGGATAAATAGTGTCAAATGTCATTCATCAGTTCTGTTTGGAAGACACAGTGGCTGGGCTGATGAAAGGCAGGTTAGAGCCCCAGTCAGGGTGCCATCTAACTAAAAGAAAGCAGGTTGTTTAGAGCCATAAGATAGCAAGTCTTATGAATAATGCCCTATTATTATTTAGCCCATTTCACCGTCTGAGGGATTGTGTTGACACCCCTGTGGTGTACTAACATCTGAAGACAAAGCCACTGGGCAGGGACAGACAGGGCTGTTAGTACTGCATTAGGATCAGTCCAGAAATGTAAAGGTGGATTTA